TAACTACCATTTGCTCTCTGTTATGGATTGAATTATCTCCCCCAAAATATGTATTGGAATCCTAACCCCTGTACCGGTGGCTATTAACCTATTTGGAAATAGTATTTTCTTTGTTAATGGCCATATCAGTGTAGTGGGTATCCTAAAACTAGTCATTTCTGAGTTGTAAAGAGAGCAGATTAGACACAGAAGTCAGCAGACACAGGGTGTCTTAGCTGTCTAGTGCTGCTGTTGCAGAAACATCGCCCATTGGGTAGCTTTAACAAACAGCAATTTATTTTCACACCATTTAGGAAGCTAGAAGTCCAAATTGAGGGTACCAGCTCTAGGGGAGTGCTCTCTCTGTCCACTCTGGGAGAAGATCCTTGTCTCTTTCAGCGTCTCTTCTTCGGGTTCTTAGTGATCTCCATGTGGCATTTATCTTTCCCCATTTGTGCCTGCTCATTTCTGTGCCTAATCTGCTCCTTTCGTATCTCAAAGTGATAGGCTTAAAACACACCCTACGCTATTCTAGCCTCATTAACATAACAAAGAAAGCCCTATTCCCAAGTGGGATTACATTCACAGGTATAGGAGTTAGGATTTACAACACATATTTTAGGGGGACAAAATTCAATCCCCATAACATGGGGGAAGACAGACACTATCTGGTGGCAATGGAGGTGGATGAATCTCCAAGCCCAGGAATGCCAAGGATTGTCACTGTAAGGACATCTCCCTAGCCTCCTGAACTGTGACAAAGTAAATTTCTGTTCTTTAAAGCTACCCCGCTTGTAGTATTTCTGTTCCACCAGCACTAGGGAGCTAAGTCACTAACCATCCAATTTCTCCTCAACCTTCCCGATTTGCTTTCCTTTCTGAAATGTTCCTGTGAATGTCTTCAGTGCTTTTCTGGTTCCTAACTCCACTGGACTTTTTTTGAGTAGATTTCAGCCTTCGCCGCCTTTCAACATTTCCACCATTGCTGGTGAACCACTGTATTCAGTAGATGCTGTGGTAACAAAACCTCAATGGCTTTCAACAACAGTTGTTTATTTCTCCCTTGTGAAAATGTGAACGCCAGCTGTGCTTTAAGTTCTCTGCATTCTAGGATTCAGGCTGGAGGGGCCACCCTTATCTGGAACATTACTGGGTTCATGGTAGAGGGAAAGGAGTTGACAGGACCCTGGATGGCTCTTAAACCTTCTGCTCAGAATTGGCACATGTCATATCCACTCACATTTCATTGACCAGCCAGGTCACACAACCAAGCCTGATGTTGATGGGGCAGGAAGCATCGTCCTCCCCCAGGGACAGGTCTGGTAGGGAGGTGAACATGGATTTGACAGTAGAACCTCACAAAGCCATATATTTCAGCTTTTTCCGGCACAGAACCTGTCACATAATAGATGCTCAGTAGGGGAAAGACTCACTTCTTTCTTCCTGGTTTTCTTCCTTTTCCTGGTGGTGTTGAGGACCCTGCACTGACCCTTTGCCTGTTTCTTCTCTGGAATCCCTTTATTCTCTCCCCTATGCCAAGTGTTGGTCATCAGCATTTTCTCTTTGCTCTCCTCACCCTCTCCCTGGAAAGAGTTTTCTACTTTACTGTTTTGGAAACCCATCACGTGTGTTTGCTCTTGCTCATGGCAGTTTACCTTTGTACTATATTTCTGAATGGCTCAGCAAGACAGGGCAAGCCTAGAGTTTTGATTTTAAGCCATGTTGAAATAGTAGAAAGGGAGTCAGTTGTTTAGAACTTTGATGATTTCTGTTTTATCATTCTGAATAGAACCATTGTGGTTGACGTTTACACGTGCCAGCGAATGAATTAACCCTGAGCTTTCATTTAGTAGGACCTGGGCCTAAAGAGTTGCAAAAATAGCTTGATCTTCCCATAAATATAGAAAACCTCACCTGAGCGTTACATAGATAGTATAGAAATATTCTCACGATAGCTGCACTGGAGCCCTGGTAGTGCAGTGATTAAGTGCTCAGCTGCTAACTGAAGGGTCGGCAGTTTGAACCCACTAGCTGCCCCGCAGGAGAAAGAGGTGCCAGTCTGCGTCCATAAAGATTACAGCCTTAGAAGTCCTATGAGGCAGTTCTACTCTGTTCTCTAGGGTCACTGTGAGTTAGAATTGACTCAACGGCACACAACAACAACAACGTAGCTACACTATGCACGTGCTAGATGGAAAGTACCCTAACCTGAAATCCCTTTTGGAGCGAGGCATTGTTTTAAAATAAAACATTTCTTTTCAGCATTTCTTTCTATTAATCACTAGCTATCTTTAAATTTGATGGGCATTTTGTTTTTCCGTTAAATTCCTAAAATACTTTGAATGACTGTGTTGTTATTGTATGCTGTCAAGTCCAATTTTGACTCACAGTGACCCCATGTGACAGAGTAGAACTACCCCACAGGGTTTTCTAGGCTGTGGTGGCACAGTGGTTAAGAGCTTGGCTGCTAACCAAAAGATTGGCAGTTCAAATCCACCAGCAGCTCGTTGGAAACCCTACGGGGCAGTTCTACTCTGTCCTATGGAGCACTATGAGTCAGAATCGACTTGATGGCAATGGTTTTGGTTTTTTAAAATCTTTATGGGAGCAAATCGCCAGGTCTTTCTCCTGTGGAGCTGCTGGATGAGTTCTAACCACCAGCCTTTAGGTTAGCAGCTGAGTGCTTTACCGTTGCTTCACCAGGGCTCCCTTTGAATGACTATCTCCCCCCCGCCCAGAGAACAAAAACAAACCCACTGCTGTCGAGTTGATCCCCAGTCATAGCAACCCTGTATGAATGACTATACCTGTTACCACTGAGTCGACTCCAACTCATAGCGGCCCTAGAGGAGAGAGTAGAACTGCCTCATAGGGTTTCCAAGGAGTAGGTGGTGGATTCAAACTGCCAACCCTTTGATTAGCAGCCCACCTCTTAACCACTGTGCCACCAGGGCTCCATGAATGACTATAGCAGAGCTAAATTAAATATACATTTCATTGCAGTATTTTATTTAGATATCTTAGTTCTTCTACTAGATTCAGTAAATTACTGAAGGCAGTAGATTTTTCCTTATTTCATTAATGTTTTTGGTAAGTACAATTAATTTCTTGAATTGAATATGACACTTATATTATTAGCTATAGTCCCTGTTGGTGCAAATGGTTAACATGCTCAACTGCTAACTGAAAGGTTCGAGGTTTAAGTCCATTCAGCAGCACCTCGAAAGAAAGGCCTTGCAATCTATTTCTGAAAAATCTGCCACTGAAAACCCAGTGAAGCACAGTCCTACTCTGACACATACGGCGTCGCCATGAGTCAGAGTCAACTCCATGGCAATTGGTTTTATTATATTAGCTGTATTATTATTGAACTAAAGGTGGATTCATTCTGTATGGTATCTCTTTGCAATTTTATTTAAATGATTATGCAATTAAAAGACATGTAATTTTATATGGTCAGTTGCAGTGTCATATCAGACATTGTTGGTACTGTGTCATATGCCCCAGCACCTACATTTTCCAAGATGGCTAGGCTGATTACCTGCTGCCAGCACTGGAAATTCTGTGCCTGGGAGCTTTCTCTGGCTACTGGAGACTTCTTTTCCCCCGGTACGAGGATGCTGGAGAATTATTGCTCCTCCTCCCCACCACCTTCAACCAATGACTAACAGGAATTGGTGAATAAATACCCCAACTCCCTTGCCCCTTGGGTCATGTCTTCGTTTCCTAGTGTTGCTGTAACAGAAATACCACAAATGGGTAGCTTTAAAGAACAGAAATTTATTTTCTCATAGTTTGGGAGGCTAAAAGTCTACATCAGTGTATTGGTCATGTTGATTCCTTCCTTGTTGGTAGTGCAGGTGTTCCTTGATTCCTTGGCTTGTAGAGAATTCTCACATGGTATCCGTCTTCTTCAGTATGTGCTTGTCTCTGTGTCTAATCTGCTCTTTTTATAACTCAGAAGTGATTAGGTTTAGGGCCCACCCTACAATGGTACGACCTTATTAACATTAGATTGCATTATGGATGGTGGTTACATTATATTACTTTACATCCACAGGCATAGGAATTAGGATTCCAATATATATTTTTGTGGGAGGGACACAATTCAATCCAAACAGGTAGGATATCTACAAAGTGTTTGGTTGACACTATCTCCTAGAGTTCCCCAGTGGGCCTGAGCCCCAGCTGCCCACAGTGGTAACTTGCTGGATAATGCACGTCTGGTGCTCTGTCTTCCCTGCTCTGTCTCATTTCTCCATTCCCCTGTTGGCATTTCCTGGATCAGCTACCAAATAAGCTACTTGCAATCTAATTCTAGTCTTGAAGTCACAAAGTTTCTAAGGGGAATCCAAATCAAAACAAGCATTCATATATTAAAATTTACTATAAAGCAATTTAATTCTCTGCCGTCCAATGGAAATATAATGCAAACTACATATACAATGTAAAATTTTCCAGTCACCTCAAAAAAGGAAAATGAGTGAAATAATGTTGTATGTCTAAAGTATTATTTAAACATGTAATCAATATGAAACATATTAACGAGATATTTTATATATTTTTCATTCTAAAGCTCTGAAATCTGGTGTATATTTTACATTTACAGCGTATCTCAATTTGGACTAGCCACATTGCAAGTACTCAACAGCCACATGTGGCCAATGCCTACCATATTGGACAGTGGACATTTATTTCTTACCATTCTAACCCATGGGTCAAAATTTACAGACTTGATAACTCTTGAATATATAGGAAGCTGTATGGTGGGTCATATTTCCCACTCTTAACAAAATCTTACGTGCCTTCTCCACTTTTCTTCTTTTAAGCTGAATAAAATCTCTATAAATATCTGGATTGACAAGGATCACTTTGTTTAGCCTCTGTGCACATGTTTATGTTCTTCCAAGAATGAGTCTCTGGCAATAATACATTTGAGACTTTCACTTAAGCTTCTTACATGTTTGCGTGCAAAATATAAGCAAGACTGTTCAGCATCTCTGTGTTTGTGTGTTTTTCAGGCAGAGGGTACCAGACTTCAACGAGAACTCCGGGGATATTTAGCAGCTATCAAAGGTAATGTGTATGAGCTGTTTCCTGTATGTTTCCAAGCACAGGTTGTTTTTGGAAATCGCAGAGTGACAGGATTTAGTGTAAATTACAAAGCCATTTGGCTTTCTGGCAAGATGGGTACTTAAGCACAGGTGTTCAATTTCACCCTCCCCCAAGTTCCCATTGAGATGATAATAAGAAAGAAATATTGCTTGCCCTTGTGCTGGAAACTAGGAATAGGTGCCACCCACATGCCAGAGATTTCTAGGAAGGTTTGTTAGATAGAGTGAGCTTGAGACCTTGCTCATGAAAAGCTACAGCTGGCTCACATCCTGAGGGAGAGCATGTCCCAAGGGGGGAACACTGACAGACTCACACTTAAGCCCTCTAACGGGAGGAGCAAGGTAAGGAGGCAAAGGCAGGGGCCGGCTTGACAGGAGACATGCCCCGGACTGCCTCTGACTTGTGTGGCCCAGCTGCACCTGCAGCTCTGCCAAGGGTATGGGAATGGCATTTGTTTCTGGCTTCATCCATGAGAGGCAAAGAAATGAGGCCAGTGGAGGAGGGAAGACAGGGGAGTAGGAGGGATGTCCCATCTACGCCTTCTATAAATGATCATACTGCCTGCATTGAATCAGATCCAGGTGTGCCCACAGACGGGAAATAGGATAAAGCAAAATTTCAGATTACTAGGGTGAGAATGGGTCATCGGATCAGGGCTATTGGGAAAACTGGTCAAACAGGAAAAAAGTGAGTTTCCCAGGCTCACACTTTATCCCTCATTCCTAATTCCAGATATCATAAAGATTTAAATATACAAAGAAATACCGTAAAGTATAGAATAAAATACAGTAGACTTAATTTATAGTTTTGAGTAGAGAAGGTCTTTACAAGGGCAACCCAAAAGACAGAAACCAAAAGGGGAAAGATTTACAGATTTGGCCTCATAAATACATTAAACCTAGTTAGGTTTAAAAAACACCATATCTGACAACATATTTAATGAAAGTGAAGCAAGATATAAAGACCTCAGTAAGTAAACTAAGTGAAGAAAAGGGGATAAAACATAAAAGTATGAAGAGAAAATTAGCCAAAGAAGACATCTAGCTGGATGATAAATGTGAAAAAATGCTTAGCCCCACAAGTAATCAAGGACAATTAAATAGCATCAAAAGGAAGATACCATCATTTTTATTCCAAATGTCTAAAAGACTTTTGTTCTTTTTAAAGACCATAAGATGTAGCATTGCCAAAGTTATAGGGACAGGAGCCCTTTCATATGCTGCTGATTGGGACCTCTCTTCTGGAGAGCAATTTGGCAAAAGCCTTTAATAAGTATTCCTTTTTTTTTTTAACGTACCTTTTGACCCAGGAGTTTTGTTTCTAAAAATTTATTCTAACAATTTCAGTGTGGATATATGAAATTAACTACAAAGATATTAGTAGATAACAAAATAATGCAAACCTAAGTACATAAATAATGAAAAATGAGTCACAATAATACAAAATTAGTGATTTTTTTTTTTAAAACTTAGATGTATTTGAGCTTTCTCTATGTCAGGCAAGGAGTCCCTGGTGGTGCAGATGGTTAAGTGCTCGACTACTAAACAAAATATTGGTGGTTTGAATCTACCCAGAGGTTCCTTGGAAGAAAGGCCTGGCCATCTACTTCCAAAAGATCACAGCCATGGAAACCCTATGGAGCACAGTGCTACTCTGAAACACATGGAATCACCATGTGTCAGAATTGACTGGCAACTGGATTACATGCTAGGCATATAATTTTAATCCTCATGACAACTCTAAGGCAGGTACTATTATTATCTCCATTTTATAGATCAGAAAGTGAGGCACAGAGAGGTTAAATCCCTTGTTGAAGGCCCTGTCACTAGTGAACTACAGGATCCGGTTGTGTACTCTGGTGCGTGTGCCTCCTGAACTCTTGCTTAGATCTGTTTTCTTATACCGCCTTTGAACTCCATGACTGATGGTAAAGCATTGGTTTCACAAATTAGAGTTCATCTGTACAATGGAATAATAATAACTTACTACCATTACTTTTTAATGAGCACTTACTGTGTGCCAGATTATGCTATGCATTTTAGGCATATTACTTCTTTGTAAGCTCAGAATACAGATATATGATGTCATTAACCTTATTTTACACTTGTAAGGAAGTAAGACTCAGAATTTAACTTCCACAAATTCATGTAGCTGATAATTAACTGCTACAGAATTTAAAATGAACTCTGCCTTAAATATTCATAATAAGTCAGAAAATGAAAGCCATCTAGGTATTTCTTTTATTATTGATTGAGGATTTGAATACAAGAAGTCACACATAATTTCAAGCAGCAAACATTCTCTAGGTTAGCTGATTTTTTTAAAAAAATGTGCATAGATTTGTTGAATAAATGAGTGAACTCTCTTTCCCAAGTCTATATATTTTGGACTGTTTTACCTCCTTAGTATAGAGAACATTGCTGTAAATTACTGGCCTACTTCTTTCCCTTGATGTGGTCTAGATGGAGGATATACTCAGAGTGAGAAGTTATTCTAGAGAGCTCCTCAGTGGTGGATGAAAGCCACCTTTGTATCCGATGGTGCCCTGGATTCCACTTCCAGTGATCCCATCTTCCATGAAGAAGTTATTGTTGTTATTGCCAGATGTCATCGAGCAGGTCCCAACTCACGGAGACCCCATGCACAGTGGACCAAAATGCTGCCCAGTCCTGCACGAGCAGCATTATTGTGGCATTACAGAAGAATGAGACTGTCCCTGGAGAGTTGTGGGCTCTGGGTCTGGTCCTAGAGACACTTAATTGTGGGACAGTCATTGACCCTCTCAACTGCCTTGGCTTCCTCATCTATAAAGGGCTCTTGTTGCTCTCTGAAGCCCTGAAAGCTCCAAAACTGTGATTCTGTGAAATTAGGTTAACTGAGCTCTGCTCTTTATCCCATTCTTGTTGATCCCTGGGTGGCAGTCACCTCCACAGGTTTTTATTATTTTCATTGGTATTTGGGCTTTGCAAGGTAGATTTTTTTAAATAATGGCAAGTATGTATGAAACAAAACATTTGCCATTTCAACATTCTTTACTTGTACAATTCAGTGACTTTAATTGTGTTGTGCGACCATCACCACTATCCGTTTCCAAATATTCTTATCACCCCAACAGAAGCTCACTGTCCACCAAGCAATGAGTGCCCTTTTCCCCCTCCTGCCCCTGCCCCTGGTAACCACTGATTAACTTTTGTCTACATACACTTGCCTATTCTAGGTATTTCATATAAGTGGGGATCATATAATATTTGTCGTTTTGTGATTCACTTCTTTCACTCAGAATAATGTTTTCAAGGGTCATCCATGTTGTGGCTGTCTCAGGACTTCATTTCTCTTTATGGCTGAGTAATATTCCATTGTATGCATGTATCACAACTGGTTTATCCATTCATCTGTTGATGGACATGTAGACTGTTTTCATCTTTTGCCTATTGTGAATAATGCTGCAGTGAACATTAGTGAACATGTATCTGTTTGTGTTTCTGCATTTCATTTTTTTTTGGGTATATACCTAGATATGGAATTTCTGAATCATACAATAATTCTGTATTTAACTTTTTGAGGTTGATCTTAGGCTTACGTTCATTTTAGCAGCAAACATCTCATCAAGCACCATTTATGTGCCAAGCACTGTTCTAGGAACTGGAGATGCAGAGATGAACAAGACACAGTACCAGCTCTCAAGGAGCTCGCAGTGGAAATGGGGAGACAATTAAAGAAACAAAAAAGCCAGAGATACATAGTAATACATGTTTTAATAGAAGTATGTCTCAGGTGCCACCATAACAGAAGCCAGGCCCCCACCCTCCATGAGGGGCAGGAGACAGGGTCAAGAATGGCCCTTCCCAGGAACTTAACGCTTGAACGGCCCCAGAAAGGGGACATAGGTGTTCATTAGGTGATGCAGTATGGCAGAAAAAGAGGTTGATGTTGGAAGAACATTACAGGTAGGGGAAGCAACATGTACAAAGGGTCTGGAGGCAGGAGGAAGCATGGGCTGTTTAGGGAACAAGTAGACCAGAGAGGTGTAAGTAGGGAGCTGATCTGGATGAAATGTGGAAATGTAGGCAGTGTTTGTATAAAGAAATGCTTTATGCATCATATTGGGGCATTGGGGCGTTATTCTGTCAATAGGGAGGTCCTTAAATTATTGTCAGAAAGAGAATGAGACATATGACCAGATTGCCATTTTAGAAAAAATAATTATTGTTGACTGTGACATTTAGGCTAGAGGAAATGAAACTACCAGCAAGAATACCTATTAAAAACCTCCAGTTACTGTCAAGTTGATTCTGATTCATGGTGACCCCGTCTGATTCAGAGTAGAACTGTGCTCCATAGGGTTTTCTATGGCTGGTTTTTTGGAAATAGATCACCAGGTCTTTCTTCTGAGATGCTTCTAGGTGGACTCAAACCTCCAATTTTTAAGTTAGCTGCAGGGTGACATTCATGAGGATTGGGAATGGGTAGGAACGGGTTTGGACAGGAAAGTTATGAGTTTGCTTTGGATATGTGAAGTGTACGGTACTGGTAGGCTGTCTAAGTGGAGATATCCAGTAGGAATTTGGAATTTTGGAGTCACTGACTTGGTGGATAGTGGAGGCCTGACCCAGGGATGATAAACACTCAAGATCTTTCTCTAAATGGAGTGTGGCCCAGGTGGTATAATTAGTATGTTAATTGTATCTGATGGGACAGTAATAGTTCAATGGTAGAATACTCACCTTCCATGTAGGAGACCTGGGTTCGATTCCTGGCCAGTGCACCTTATGCACCGCCACTACTCATCTGTCAGTGGATGCTTGTGTGTTGCTATGATAATGAACGGATTTCAGCAGAGATTCTGGACTAAGACAGACTAGGAAGAAAGGCCTGGTGATCTAATTCTGAAAATTAGCCATTGAAAACCCTGTAGATCACAATGATCCGATCTGCAGTCAATCATGGGGATGGCACAGGACCAGGCAGTGTTTTGTTCCATTGTGTATGGGGCTGCCATGAGTCAGGCCAACTCAATGACAGCTGACAACTGCAACAACAACCACAGTTGTATGTGATTTTTTATGTGTAAGCATGACCCAGGTGGTGGGGTTGACTGTTATTGCGCTGCCTCACAGTATGCCTAGTTTTTCCACATTCTTGCTGCCATACTTATCCTCCTCCTTGAGACTCTAGGAAAAAGATTTCCCTTCCTGTTTTCTGATGAGGCAACTGCTCTGTCTTCTTAAACAACTCTCTTCCAAGTAATAGGGAGAAAGCTCCCTGGTACTTGCAAGATTTCAGATATTCTTTTCATAATTTGATGATCACTGCTGCTGTCGTGGTCATAATATATTTTAACTGATATTATTTTTCACTAAAACACGTACCCTCCGGCTGTGTAAGCAAAAAGAACTTGTGTAGCAGTTCAATCTATGCAACAAATCTTAGAGGATGAAAATAGAAGCTCACAGTTTGGTTGCAAGAGGAAGTAGAGGATGGTACAATAAATGTCTTGGAGAAAGTCCAAAAGTTTGAAGAGAGGGAAGTGGTTCCATCCAATAGTAAAATAATTATTGTTCTATATAGGATGCTGGGCAGTTGTCTTACAATTTTGGAAATCACTAATCTTTTAAGAAATCATTAGATACTAGATATTATTAAATGCTAGAGGCAGCATTTAGTATTTATTCTGCTTTTATGTTACCAAATTACTTTGAAGGGAACTTGGGTTTTAGCTTTTATTTTTCCTTTCCTATTACATTTTGTCAGCAGAGTGAGTTTTGCATGAGTCCTTCCTCTTTCCTCTTCTTCTCCCTAAAATCTCCCCTGGTCTTTATGCCCCTTGAGAGTGGAGCTTGAGGCTTGTTCACCCGTGTATCCATCAAAGCGCTTATTTTGTTGTTCAGGAAACTATTTCCATGTCAAAATTGATTTTTTTCCAAATTACCCATTAGTGTTTATCCAGGCAGTAATTAGTAGTTATTTTTGGCTGTCAATAGACATATTTACTGCCACATTGTGGTTTTGGCTTCAATCATTAAAGTCTTACATAATTTATATTTCAAGCTTACATTCATAGTTTTGTTTTCACCACGAAGGCTTTTTGTCCTACAGTGCCACCATTTTCCCTTTAAGACATTGTTAAGAGCATATTTACATAGCTCTTTATAATTTCCATCAGACTTAAGACAAAGACTTAAAAGAAACTTCAGATGTCTTTTGGCATCTGAATTATAGAAGGGCATCAACTAGCAACTAATTTTTGGTTGCATTCAAGGGCTATAGACTTGCTTGTATTTAGGGAAAGGTAACCGTGGATGCTCCGGCTAATGTTGTCACCACCTCAAGGGGACCATTCTTAGTCAGTTATAAGAGAGAACATCTCATTCACTTGGATTCAGAGTGCTGGGGGTAAGGATACAGGCGTTTGTATCATTTTTGGCTATCTCTACACTTACTTTATTCTCAAGTGATTGTATCAGAGCCCACGGAGACTTCAGTCATCACTGCTTCTTTTCCCCCTGCCCTTTCTTGTTGTTAGCTACCATTTAGTCAGCCCCTAACTTGTGACGACCCCACGCACGGTGGAATGAAATGCTGCCCGGTCCTGAGCCATTTCCACGATGGGTTACGTATCAGACCTTTCCTACCCTACACCGCCTAGAACGCTTCATCTCATGGTGGTTGTTTCAACAGGTGTGGACAGTCAACCTCATTGTAAAGGTGTCCTTTCCCAGTCAGTGATACACTGTTCGTGGTTAGAGGCTTTCAAACTTCATGTGGCCCTAAAAATGCATTTAAAACTCTAATATTTAAAGACCAAATATAGATCTACATCTTGTAAGGGAAAGAAGATGAGGAATGTACTATGTTTAGAGTGAAAAAGTATTACGAAATACCAGATTACATATTGTCTTTTATACATCCTCTTCAAGGGTATACTTTTATCACTTCAGATGTCTTCAATTTTGTCCTTTTCTCTCACAATTTTTTGAACTCGGAATTGGCTACCTTATATATACAGTTCATGCTCATTATTCACTGATTCTGTATTTGCAAATCTTCTGCTCAGTGAAATTTATCTGTAAGCCAAAACCAATACTTGAGGCACGTTCGTGGTCATTCACAGACATGCACAGAGCAGCAAAAAATGAGAGCCACCTCATGTGCATGTTCCCACCTGAGGTTGAACAAGGCAACACTCCGCCTTCTTGTTTCAGCTCTTATACTGTAAGCAAGTGGCCTTTCTGTGGTCTATTTAGTGCCACAATTTTCGCGTTTTTGTTGATGATATCACTGCTTAAAATGACCCCTAAGCATAGTGTTGAAGAGTTGTCCAGTGTTCTGAAGCATAAGAAGGCTGTGATGTACCCTACAGAGAAAATACGTAGAAGATAAGCTTTGTTCAGGCATGGGTGATAGTACTGTCGGCCATGAGTGCAGTGTTAATGAGTCAGCAATATATATTAGATAAGATGTCTTTAAACAGAAATGCCCATAAAAAACGGTTATGTATTGATTAGAATGTTCCTTAGGAGCGAGGATGGTGAGACTTCGTCTTGCTTACTTTGAACATGTCACTAGGAATGAGTAATTGCTAGAAAAGGACATCCTGTTTGGTAAAGTAGAGGGTCAGCAAAAACGAGGGAAGTCCTACATGAGATGGATCGACACCATAGTCACAACAATGGACTTAGACATATCATAGATCATGAAGATGGTGCAGGACCTGGCAACATTTAGTTCTATTTTATATATACATACGTTTATATATATATTTATGTAAATATATAATATCACCATGAATCGGAGCTGACTGGGCAGCAACTAACAATAAATGATCATATGATAGAAATGTTGTGACCAGAGGGTCACAAGTTTAAGTCTCACCTTGGAGTTGGTAAGGAGAGTCTGGTGTCAAGAAGGTGTTTCTTCACAGTCACCAGCCAAAGAGGGCACCTTGGTTCCTTCTTAGCCGTGAGCTGTCTCCATGGCAACTTGACACTTGCACTTTAACTCAAAAATTTTTTCGAAGAGGGAGGTGGCTGGAAAAGACTTGGTGACACTTTATATCACCATGTTACACTCAGAAATACCATTAATAAATGTATTTTTTTAATATACCAAATGCATTTTCTAATGAAGGTCCTGACCCATATGCTTAAGAATGCTTACCTTTCTGAGAATTCTGACTTAAAACTGTATTCATAGATTTTAATATTATTAGAAAAAGAAAATCTTTTTCTTTTTTGTTTGTAAACTTGTTTCAAGATCACTTAAATCACCTTCAACAGTTATATTCTAAAACCCTATTGACTTTGCCTCTGCCTGACTCTAAAATGCTTTATTATTTATATTTAAAATTGTCTAGGATTAATTTTATTTTTAGAACTCAGTAGTTTTATGGATCATCATTCTAAGCGTCTTACACATTTACGGCTTGATGCCGTTTAGTAAGTGATAGTATACAGAACATATCGTTATTTTGTTGCTGTTGTTTTCAGAATAGAATGTGGTATTGAAATTTTTCAAGACACAGTATCTATCAGTATCATGTAAATAATAGAAAATGCACAGCATGATCAGACAAGTCTTCAAGACCCTCAGGGAAAGATGTGACTGTAAAGACCAGCAATGGATGCGCCTTCACAGTTTTTTCTTAAATAATTAGCAATTTCTCATGATTTTTGTCTCATTGAGAAAAGTAGGGGGAGGAGGAGGAAACTCATCACCTGTTTCTAATAAGAGTTGTTTTTATCCAACACTAGGCATGCAGGAGGCCTCCATGAAGCTCACTGAGTCACTCCATGAAGTCTATGAGCCGGACTGGTACGGGCGAGAAGATGTGAAAATGGTTGGTGAGGTAAGAGCTGGGGAACACAGCCCACAGGAGGCTTGGGGCAGCTTCCAGAAGACTCTCGCATAGTCTTGCTCATAGAGCAGATCTCCTGCCCCTCTTTTATCACGGCCTGGCCTTAATCATGAGGGGGCCCAGAAAGCACTGTGCGGTTTTGCTATCTGGATCATCCCAAACTCATAGTGAGACATGAAGATGATTATAAAGCCACTTGGGTAGAAAGCTGTGGGTAAAAGTTTTTTTTTTCTTTCCCAAAATAGCAATAGCATTCTTCTGTCCCCTACTACACATTTTAACAGCCCATCTCTAGCAGAACTGGTTCATGGTATATTCTGGGCACTCGCCCCACCCCTTTGTCCTAATTCCCCTATCTACTAACCCTTTGCTGTAGAGTTGACTCTGACTCATGGCAGTCCATGTGTGTCAGAGTAGATCTGTGCTCCATAGAGTTTTTCAATGGCTAGTATTTCAGAAGTAGATTGCCAGGCCTTTCTTTCGAGGTACCTCTGGGTAGACTTGAACCTCCAACCTTTTGGTTAGCAGCCGAGCGTGATAACTTTTTGTGTCATCCAGAGGCTTTGCTCATCTACTCTCCTTCCCTGAATGCGGGGAGAGGACCTCTAAAGAACATCATCAATTTCACTTTAACACTGGTCGGCATGACCTGAGGATAGGTGCAAAGTAAGCCTGCTGAAGAGAAATCAAATTTCAGGAAGGCTTTAACCTTAGGCATATCTTAACACCTGAAATCAAACATCTAGCCAAGGGCCTTCTGGCTGGTGAGGGGTGAGAAAGCGGGTATTGCTGCTTTGTGGAAGCAGAATGCGCAGAGACCAAGAGTGGCTTCATGTGACGTTGGACAAGTTCTTTCCTCTTCTTGGGCTTTAGATTCCTCATCAACGAAATGTGACTAATAACTGTCCCCACTAGTAACACATTTAAAGCCTTCGTATCGATCTATATAGTCAGTGCTCAGTGCGTGTCGTTGCTAATGTGAAAACGTACTAGCCAGGGATTCTCTCACATCCAAGTTCTTTGTTAAAACAAAGAGGACTTGTTTGTCATGTCCTCCACTTCAGGTGAGTCCATTGCAGCTCATTTAGGTGCAGGACGCCTAAACTAGATGCAGGAGCCAAAGCTCAGGGGAACATCTGACATATGATGAGAGGAGGGTCTGCACAGGCTTTAGAAGGACGGTAACAGTGTAGTCCCAGGCTGCTCCATGAAACTTCTGACTCCCTGACACATTGATCTTCCTAATCTTGTTATGACTGATTTAAAAACCGTGATTTATTTTTGAGGGGAGCTTGGTTGGCCCTATTACGTCTTTCAAATACTTTCAGGATATGAATTTGGCAAAACCAGCCTCTGCAGATCATTTCGAATGCAGTTATTAAGTAATCGCATCTTCTCGCATTTCTTCAATATAAAAACCCTGTCTCTATGTCATGCTGTTAAATGCTTAACTCATTTTGTTAACTTCTGATTAATAGTGGCTAATTAAAAATTCTTCATAAAAAGAGGAACTTTTAAGGGAATGATTAAACTCTGTGAATGTGTTTTCAGAACCCACTATTACATTCTGTGTGTGATAAATGCCATTGTTGAAGTTTATTCCTTAAATAAATAGCTGTTCTCTTACCTTGGTCCTGGCAGCTGGCAGGAGTTTTGGAGTCCTCAGATGCTGGGCCAAATATGGGCTCTTTTGATGATGAAGGAACTGAACACTCCACGCCTAAAGGATCTGCTCACATCAGAAGATTAGCCTTTTAGTCGAGAAGGGAGAGTTTTGACATGTCATGGGGTTTTCATCCAATGTCATAAAACAATATGTGTACTAAGTGTTTAATGAGAAGCTAGTTTGTTCTGTAAACCTTCATCTAAAGTACAATTAAAAAAAAAAGATTAGCCTTTTAAATAGAGGATTTGCATTTTTTGTTTGCATATTGAATTGGGATCTGTAGCAATTAGGATTTGTTTTTGAAATGTGAAAGAAAAAACAAAAGCAAATAACCCCACCCCACCCCCTACCCCCCTAAAAAAAAAAATTTTAAATAAGATAGAAACTTGTCTTTCGAAAGAATTCGGAGGTCAGGAGCCCAGGTATGGCGTGGTGGACCCACAAGTATCAAGGACCCATCTTTGCTATCTTTAGCCTGCCTTCTCCAGGTTCAAGATGATTCTCTGAGCTCCTGCCATCAACCCTTAATTTTGCCTTCCAGATAGCAAGAAGGAAGATGTGGGAAGATGGGCCCACTCCCTCCTTTTAAGGATGCTTCACATACATCTCATTGACTGGAACCTTGTCACATGGCTACGCTTAGCTGCAAAGGAAGCTGGGAAATATAGTCTTTATTCTAGGTGGCCATGCATCCAGCTGAAATTGGAGGTTCTATTGTTAATGAGAAGGAAAGGGTAGATACCGGCAGTCCCCTGGTTACGAACGTCCAACTTACGTACAACTCGTAGTTAGGAGCAAACCCTGTAAATATTAAAAATTCGAGGTACATGTAATAGTTCATAATAACAAACAGGTTCTACTTTTCAACATGCATTAAAACATTATTACTGTATTATTATGTTAAGGATTTTTTAGAGTATATGGAAGTGTTTCTTTAATGTTTTTTATGCATAGAAGGTACACTATATACTATATACTAGGACAAACAAGAAGACAAACATATAGCTAACTGACATTAGATACAAACCGTACCTAACCGTTTGACTTAGGAATGGAACTTGTTTGTAATCCAAGTATTGCCTATACTGGGAAAGCAAGAAGCAGTGTCTTCCTCGAGACCCCAAACTTCATAGTAGGAGAAATGTGGAGATGACATTCTTAAGTATCTGCTATGTGTCTGGGATTCTGCAAAGCACTTAATGTTATCAACTCATTTAATTAGGAAAACTGTAACTCAGGGAGGTTGAGTTCCCCAGAGTTCCACACTGGGATATGAACTCTGCTCTGGTAAGGCAGCCTGGTATGAATAGATCGTGGGCTTGGAACCCATGGGGACAGATCTTGTTTGGAACCTTAGATCTGTCATTTATCAATTACATGACCTTGGGCAAGCTATGTAAATCCCTGGGCTACAGGATCCTCTTTTCTGAAGTGCCTGTAATAGGACTAAGCTATAATATAAGGAGTTCCTTGTGGTACAAACGTTTAACGTGCTTGGCTGCTAACTGAACGGTTGGCGGCTCAAGTCTACCCAGAGGTGCCTTGGAAGAAATGCCTGGTGATCTACTTCTGAAAGATAAGCCACTGAAAACACTATGGAGCACAGTTCTACTCTGACACACATAGTGTTGTCATGAGTCAGAATGGACTTGACGGCAACAGATTTGTTTTTTTGGTTTTGGTGGTGAGGATTAAATGAGGTGAAAACAAATATGCATATGTATCGTCTGTAAAATGTTTAACCCAGTGTCTTGACATAGTGATAGTAATAGTAATAATACAAATAATTAATATTTATTGTGTGTTTATCACAATTGATCCTCCATAAATGATGGTAGAACGCTTCCCAATTTGACTACATTTTCTGCTCCCTCTTTGAAGACTTCAGCGAAGGTTCGTTGTTGGTTTCTGTCTAGGTTGGTTTCTCATTTCATGGATTGCTTCCAAAGCACAGTCTCTTAGTCCAAAGTTTGTCTGTAGGGATCTGGGTATCTTTTGACACTTCTGTATTCTTTAGTAATTCAGAATCAGAAATACATTTTTTTTTTTTTTTAATGAGCTGATCTCTCAGATGGTCTATATTGTAAATTAGAACTGGTAGCCAAATTGCTTTGAAATTTTATTATATTACTAAATAACCCATAGTCTTTCTAATGTAGAATATCAGGGAAAGCATTTCTTGTCTAATTTTATAGTTTCAGATTTTTTTAGAAGTTTGGTGAAAGGTATCCAATTAAAATAATTCAGCAGTTATCTCTTTTTCTTTCAGAAATGTGATGTACTGTGGGAAGACTTCCATCAAAAACTAGTGGATGGGTCCTTGCTGACACTGGATACCTATCTGGGCCAGTTTCCTGACATAAAGGTATTTTACTTTGTGTCTCTAAAGGGAACAATTAAATGGTTCCATGTAGTTATTGAAACATAGGCAAGAAATAAGAGGAATTAAAAGTCTTCAAACTGACTTCAAAGACAGTTGGTAGCTTTTCATTTAAGCATGGGATTTTTATTCTGTTCCTATCAACTTGAAATGTAGTTATAGAAATCACATTTTCTCCTCTAGTGCAGTGCTTCAGCTTTTATTTCTCTACAGAAGTCTTTTAAGCCTATAGATATAAAATCATAAATCAGAGGTCCCATAGAAAACTCCAGTCTTCTTTTTATTAGATAGCATTTGACAAGGATTTCCATTAGAATATACAATAGTCACACGGAAAGGAGAAACTTCATCACAAACCTAAGAGCAAATCCGCTCTTTCCTTGAAAACTGATTATTTTGCATGTGTTCATAGTACATCTGGCTGTTTTTTCTCCCTTTGAATTTTTCAGGTTCAAATTGAACTATTAAAGATACGTGTATTTCAAATACATTTGCATCTGAATCTAAAAATATCTAAAACATTTAACTTATTTGACACTTGGATACATTGCAAAGGTAAGCAATGTGAAATAAGTGAAGGGTTGAATACAGGAAATTTGGAATTGACTCTGGAGGTAAAGAAAGTTTTTAAACCAAAACTCTGGATTATATATAGCAAATGGGGTAACATTAACTGATCTGCCCCAGTTGTTTTCCTTCCTCAAGTTGGACTGGCTGGTAAGAGAGCCCTGTGCTATCCTTCCTATAGGGTGAAGAGGCCATGAACCAACATCAACAGGCTTGTGCAGTAGGTACTTATTAGGTGTCTTCTGCTGTGTAATTCCATTTTTACCTGGCCCTCCTTGTAGCCTTTGCCAAACACTCACCAGGAAACTACCCACAGTGATGTACACTGGCCTTGACCGTGAAACATAGTGAAGCTCCTTGGCCAAAACAACACTCATATCAATGACTTTAGTTTCCCTTGGTCCTACACAGGATACTTAATGCTTGTTGGCCAATGTAAAAAGTGTGGCTGTGGACGCAAGGGCCACTGGACAAGATCTTGAGTGGAATGGACTAGGCACATTAGCCCTGTTGGCAAAATGTCATGGGGAACAAATCCGAGTGATGGATTCTCAATGATGGTATCATAATAGCATGGTGCTGTGGTGAGCTGTTGGGTAACTACATCCTAATTAAAAGGAATAAATCAGGTTTTTTGTTTGTTTCCCAACCTACAGGAAAAGTGTTTTGATCTTCAGAGTATTTTGACAGACATTCAAATTTTTTTCTTGGAAGTTGTAGCACTTGAGGAGAAAATAATCTCAGAATCACTATCACGCTTTAAACCAAAAACCAAAAACAACAAACCAGTAACTGTTGAGTCAGTTCCAACTCAGGGCAACCCCACATGTTACAGAGTAGAACTGCACTCGATAGAATTTCCAAGGCTGTACCTTTTAGAAGCAGGTTGCCAGGACTTTCTTCCCATATCACACTTTAGAGGATTGTTTATTGCACAGTAATTTAATCTCCTTAAATGATCAATTGGAAATAAATCAAAAGAAGGAAAGAAGAAACAATGTCCTCCTACCTGAAAATTCTAAAGCAGCTTGCCTAATTTGGATCACTTGTCTAAATCATTAATGTGATATATATTCAGAATAGGATTTAGCTAAGCAAACAACAGCTGTGATTGCCTACAGGGGAAGACATTTCAAATGTTGTTTAGTTGCAGGAATGAAAACAGTCTCATCAACAAAATGTGAAGGATGTAGTTGTTATGGTGCTGCCCGGAGATAGTCATTTAGAAATTATCTATGCCCTTTCAGAGCATAGGACTGTGGAACATAAACACACACAGAAGGATCTATGTTGAAATAGAGTTAGTAAAATAAAACCATGTTAGTGTATTACTTACTCTAGTCAGTTTGTTCTGTGTCAGGAAGATGAAGATCTCAGTAGGATTTCTACTTAGGCTTTTCTTTTCTGAGTGTCTGTATTAGTTTACTAGGGCCGCTGGAACAAAATACCATAAACTGGTGGTGCAGTAGTTAAGTGTTTGGTGCTAACCAAAAGGTCAGCAGTTCAAATCTGCCAGCTGCTCTTTGGAAACCCTGTGGGGCAGTTCTACTCTGTCCTATAGGGTCGCTATGGGTCAGAATTGATTCGATGCAATGGGTTTGGTTTTTGGGTGGCTTATAAGAGAGGAAATTTATTGTCTCATAGTTCTGTAGGCTAGTTGTCTGAATTTAGGGAACTGGCAGGGCCATGTTCTCTAGAAGGCTCTAGGGGAAGAACTTAATTGTCTCTCTCAGCTTCCGGTAGCCCCAGACATTTCCTTGGCTTGTAGGTACGTCTTCACACAGCTGTCTTCCCTCTGTCTGTGTCTGTCTCTGTATCTCTCTCCTCTTTTATAAGGACACCAGTCATATAGAAGTAGGACCCACCCTACTCCACTATTACCTCAGGTTAAGTTAACAGATAACATCATCAAAAACCCTATTTCCAAACAAGATCTTGTTTACAGGTATCAGACATTTGGAATTCAACATAAATTTTTGGGGGGAGGGACATAATTCAGTCCGTAACAGGCTCCATAGTTGAGATCATGCACAAAGATAATTACCAGTTACTGAGCCATCTTTACATTAGAGATTTAGGAATAATATCATCTAGGTCTTTTTCTGGCTGCTCGGAAGATAAATACATGTCAAGGTTTTACCTGCGTTACGGAGACAGTGAATCTTTTTGCCTCTCTCAATCAACATTTAGGAAACCAAAATAGACTCAGAAGCTATCAACCAAGTGTCATGGATTGAATTGTGTCCCCCCAAAACATGTGTCAACTTGGTTAGGCCATGATTTCCAGTATTGTGTGGTTGTCCTCCATTCTGTGATTGTAATTTTATGTTAGAGGATTAGGGTGGGATTGTAACACCCTTACTAAGGTCGTATCCCTGATCCAGTGTAAGGGGAGTTTCCCTGGCCTGCACCACCTTTATTTTACAAGAGATAAAAGGAAAGGGAAGCCACCAAGAAAGCAGTGCATCCTTTGGGCCCGGGGTACCTGCGCGGAGAAGCTCCTAGTCTGGGGGAGGATTGATGAGAAGGCCGACAGAAGGAGAAAGCCTTCCCCTGGAGCTGATACCCTGAATTTGGACTTTTAACCTACTTTACTGTGAGGAAATAAATTTATTTTTGTTAAAGCCATCCACTTGTGGTATTTCTGTTATAGATGCACTAGATGACTAAGACACCATGATGGTCAGAAAATTGTCAGTGTCAGAAGACAGACAATTGAAGAAACTAGTGGTGTTTAAATTACAAAGGAGACAGTTTGGCATTGGAAAGTAGGAAGGATAGCTGCCATTACTATTTGAAGGACTTTTCTTCTGTGTAAATGGACTTAAGTTATTTTGTATGCCCTTACTCAATGGGTAGACATTAGAAATAGGTAGAGACTCCATTGCTTCATGAAGTTAGTGTTGAGTGATTACATAATGAATGGGTTCTTGGTGGAAAAGAGGATTATGATTAAAAATACTGAGTGGAGAATTTTCAAAGCATGGAACATGATTGACTTCCTTGACTCCCATTAACATCACAGGCCATGTGTGGTTGAAACCTCAGGCAAATTTCCAAATATTTACCCCAGCCCATCAGTGAGGGCTATGAAGTACTATTCATGAGGGGATGGTGTTTAACTTTTCCAGCTGTGATTGGCAGGGCACCCTGTGTTGTGGTTTTTATTATGCAACACTGACATCTAAAATCAAAGTTATAATAAGAGCTAGCTTGTCACCAGCCCAGGTAGGCTTACAGCTGTGAGCAGTTATTGTAAAATGTAGTTTAGATTCTATCTTGGCACCTTGCATGAGCAGCTAGGCATATCTTCACTGCAATGTGCCAAAATGAATTCTAAAGTGGAGTTATTACTTAATTTTTAGTAAGGAAATAGAATAAATTATTACTATTTTTTACTGTCGAAGGTCAGTGCACATTGAGAAATCACAATAAATTTTAATTAAATTTGCTATTTAATTTATTTAATTAAATTTACTTCTGGATGATTAAATACAAATTGTATCACCTTCTGTAAAAAAAGTTAAAGTGTATTAACTCTACTTTACTTAGGAGGTTTGATTCTTTTTCTAAGTTTCCCAAGTATCCGATAGGTAAGGAAATAAGATTGATTTCTTTTTCTAACACAAAAATCTATTCACCAAAGTGAGTGATGGTCTTCAAAATGGTCTCTTCTACCATGGTAAGCTGTACTCTAATTGACTTGTCAGTTACACAGGAAAATGAGTAACATTATTTACTTCACTTCTTGTTTTTGAACAACAACAACAACCAAGAAAGATTATCCAGTGTACTCTTCCACCCTATTTCCAAACCTGGCAGTAATTGTATTTTAACTTTTTTCAAAAATCAAATCCATCTTCAAAGAATCAAGATTTGCAACTTGGAAGATATTGAAGGAGTACTTTTCCCCCAACCCCCAGGACAGAAGGCAAGTCCACAAATAATAGTTTTATGAGTTTACATTAAATATACGGTCACCCAAGGCCACTGCTTCTAAGGACAATGCTCCTTTGAATGTAACACTTTAGATGTCTGTCAAAAATAACTAGCTTTTACATTTTTTGGCTATGCAACCCTACCCTTAAATAGTGCGATTTTTCCATCACCATAAACAAAAACTCAGTGCTCCTTAGCAATAACCCCCCTTTTCACCTCCCTCCTGCCTTTGATAACCACTAATAAATTTCACTGAGCATAATGTCTTCAAGCTCCATCCATATTGTAGCATGTATCAAAACTTCATTTCTTTTACTGACTGAGTAGTATTCCATTGTATGTATGTATCACATTTTGTTTATCCATTCATCCATTAATGGGCATTTAGGTTGTTTCCATCTTTTGGCTATTGTTAATAGTGCTGCAGTGAACATCGGTATACAAGTATCTGTTTGAGTCTCTCCTTTCAGTTCTTTTGG